CTACAGGCACAGCTGGTTACTGTTGTCATTGTTGTTTAGCAGGCCCTGGCCAGGTTCATACCCACCAGCCCTGGTGCATGTGACTGGTGCCCTAATCACTGAGCAACAGGTGCTGATTCAACCAGTATTTTAATAAATTATTTCAGGGAGCCTTTCTCAAAGGAGATAGGATCTCAAAACTATTCCTATTACTTGATTTTCTTCCCAATTTATCGAGGAGATATGAGAGCAGAAATACAGTATGACTTACTAAGTATCATACTATGGACAGGACTTGACTTCCTTAAACTTTTTCTTCTGTTTTCCTGATTTAAATGAAACAGAAATTAAGCACTATGGAAACTCCCTAAATGATTGTTACTTCTTAAGTCACTCATCATGAAATCCTATATTCAAAATATGAATGACAATCTTAAATTGAGGGGCTACTTCTTTCAATAAATTATATTCTGAAGACTAGACAACATGTTGCACTCAAAATAGTCTAATGAATCCATTAAATAAAAAGCAAGTGGTTCAGGGAAGGATCCAAAAAAGAAACTAGAACAAAATACTAAGAAAGCTATGTCTGGTGTCTCTTTCCAATAAACCAAAAGATAAATACAGAAATATTATACTTAATTTTTAGAAAATGAAAACCCTTTGTATACATTTTAACATTAATACATAATGCAATTTTTACCAACATGATCAAGTGATTGATTCTTTTAAGCTTTTGGATCAAGAGAGCCATTTGTTCAGCCAGTTCAGAAACAGCATTTCTGCCTCTGATAACTCTTGGCAAAGAACTGCATCAGACAACTGTTGGCCAGGGGTAGTAGCAGCTGGGGAAGAGGACCTTAGTGAATTTCTATTCCCTGTCCATGTTCCATTTTAAACATGGGAAAGGTAGACTCTGTTAGTGAAGCCATGGAATTTGTAAGTAAATTCCATCACCACCTTTGGCTACTAAGGCCCCCCAATTTTTCTTTCTGACCAATAGGTAAAAAAATTTCTTTTAAATGTAAGCAATCACGGGTGGTTAATGTTTGTTTTAACTTTTTATTAAGAAACTAAGGCAAAACAACAGAAGTCCAAAAAATTAAAATACAGAATTCTAATTTTGACTCTAAACAAATATAAAATCTACACCAAAACCTAAAAATCAAAGTTTACCAATATTTACAAATAAAGGGGAATGGCTAAAATGCATTCACAGTAATTATCTCTTCCTTACTAGCCTCAGGTGCATCCCTTTCCTTCCTGCTTCACTTGGACTAGGACATAAAAGACTTTCTCATCTATCTTTTGCTTCTATAGTCTGTAACTTCAGATGAGCTTTTGTTTTCCTACCTAGTTATTTCTTCATTCCTTTAGCAAGTATGTGAACACCTGCTATTAGGCTTAGATAATGTGGGCACAAAGATGAGTCCATCAGAAATCCTGTCCTAGTTTAGGGAAGATAAGACACCAATAAATAATAAATATAAATAATTTTATATTAATATAAAGTAATACAGCATGAATTCACTATAGATAAACCAGGAACTAGGGAAATTCCAGGGAAGGAAAGAATACATTCAGCTAGAGAAATTGAGGAATATTTTATGAAGACAGCATGTGGGTTGGGTATGGACTGTTCCTTCCCAATAAAGGCTTTAAAGTGGTCCTATCTACCACAACCCCAATTCTGGTGCTCTTGATTTCTTAGGAAGTAATCTTTTCTTTCTTTCTTTTTTTTTTTTTGAGACAAGAGTCTCATTCAGTCACACTGGGGTTGAGTGTCCTGGCATCATAGCTCACAGAAACCTCAAATTCTTGGGCTCAAGCAATTTTCTTGACCCAGCCTCCCGAGTAGCTGGGACTACAGGCACCCGCCACAACACCCGGCTATTTTTTAGAGACAGGGTCTCGCTCTAGCTCAGGCAATCTGTCCGCCTCAGCCTCCCAGAGTGCTAGAATTACAAGCATGGCCTGGCCTGGAAGGTCGTCTTTTCAGCACTAATCATTAAAAGGCCTTAAGTGTCTATCTCTTCAAAACTGTTCATTTCTTTAAATTATTTTTAAAAATTAATATTACAGTCTATACAAACAGTTGTTTGGGGACTTAAGTTACAGTTAATCATAATAGTTTTTATATGGTTTAGAGCTCTTTAAAACTCTTTCTCCAATGAAAGCATATCTAAAAGGTGGAAGATGCCTAATTACTGAGCCATGATTTCAAATATTTAACTGGACAAATCCTACCTGCTTTATCTAATCTATCTCTAAATTTATGTGAATGAGATGAAATAAATTGCTAAACATTCAAAAGTCAAATAATAATGGCAACTATGAAATGACATCTATTAACTACAGAAATCCTTGTATGAAATGATTTAATGAATTATGAGCCATTGACCATTACAGACTTTCAGCCTTAATAGTTCTTTCCTATGTAAAAGCAGGTGATTAAAACAGCCTACCTCAAGTATGACAAAAGTCATAGCATAAGAGTAATAGTGATGTTTGCATCTGCATGCTTCATTAAAGAACCAAAGAAAGTGCTCCCAGTTTCCCAAGTCAACAAAGCACATTCAATTACACATTTTTTCCTGGTCATACTTTGCCTTTTAATAGCACTTTTCACCCACAGCACAAGCATTTCGCAATATTTTCTCCTTTACCCTCAATATCCTTGTGAGGTAGTGAAGGGAGGGAGCAAGGATTTTTTTCTATTTTGCAGATGAGAACACTCTGTGAATTTCAGATCAGTGGTTCTCAACCATGGCAGCATTGAAATCATCAGAAAGTTTCTTAAAATCCTTAGAGTTGGCTGGGCACCCATAGCTCAGTGAGTAGGGCGCCAGCCACATACACCGAGGCTGGTGGGTTCGAGCCTG